GATTTTTTCTTTATACTCGAAACATATATAAATTACTTGAAACTATAAAGAAACAATAAATAATTTTAAAAATGAATATACTTTTTTTATGTATATTTATATTTTATTTTTTTTATATACTTTAAATTTTTTATATATTTTTTTATATTATTATTATTTTTTTTTTATGAATTTGGAAACAAGTTTTATATGTCATACCACACATTATCTCTGCAGCTAACTATTCCAAGTATCTTTATTATTACATTTCTATTATTTAGTACGCAATTTAATTAATTTGTAAGTGAACCGAAATAACGTGTATATATATATATTTATCTGCCAACTGGCCAACTTAGTATGCCGCCCACCAAATGCCCCCAATTTCAAGAATTTAGTCGAAACGCATTTGCTCATTAAATCCAATGGCTGCTGCACGTTTCTATCCAAAATACACAGACACACACACACACACACACACAAAAGAGAACTAGGAAGTCCACTCGGTCCAACCGAACAATAGTTTTTAATGTGCTAAATTAAGTTTCGAATGCCTCTTATACAGAGCGCTTCCCACTTTCCCACTTGGTCTTCCCTTTCGAGAAAATTACCCGCACAATTTCTTTTCGAATTTGGGGGCCACGAACACCGAACAGCCCCAACCGCTTGCTCTTTTTGCCATATTGAATTTGAAGTTAGCCAAGGCATGCCTTTTGTTCTACTTCTTCCTCTGCCGCACCCTTCTTTTCGTTTCGTTTCTGTTGTTGTTGTTGTGTGTGTCTGGGCGCTTAAACGTGACTACCGTTAATTTGGCCAGAACCTTATTTAATGCTCTGGCAAAGAAGTTCTTGCCACAGTATACTAAGATTGTGTTGCAACGATAAGCGAAAGACATAGCACAACAAAAACAAAAAGTATCTTCATTTTCGGCTGGGCAAACCAAAAGAGCGAGCGAGAGCGAGAGCGAGAGGGAGAGAGTGAAAGAGAAAAAATACCAAATAATACAGCGTGTCAAAGATTTATCGGCTTGAAAAAGTATTTCGAATTAAGCGAGCGCTGCCGCTGCCGCTGCTGATGATATCATTTCTCAGATTTGCGATTTCGGATTCACATACTTTTGGCCAAAATGTATATACAAAATACACACTCACACGCACACATATACATATATGGAAAAGCGATTGATGGGATAGCATCAGGCCGGCATGGCCTTTAGCACCCATCTGCCTAGCCTAAACTAACCCGTCGATAATTCATTTTTGGTATTTCTCGATTCATAGCTTTTGTCAAATCGAGCGCCCGTTAGCGCCCCGCTCGGCCCGCTTTGATTGATTTCGTTTTGGCCATAGGCATATCATTAAGCGCGCACGCCCCAAGCCAAATGGTGCCACAGAGGCAGTCGCAAACTAACCACTGGATCGCCTTTTTTTTATGGCTTTATAATGAATCGCCTAATGTTTGACATTTGTTGTCCGCCAGTTGATACATAGCCGCTGATTTATCTGCCGATTTCCATCGCCAGCGCCATCCTGTGCGATGCCAGAGAAGCTATAGAAGCTGCTGAAGTCTGTCATTAAATTTAGCCAAATGTCTGCTGGCGCCGTTTGCATAGAAATTAGATATTTTTTCTCAGTTCGATTCGCAGAATTTAAATAGAAATCGTTCTATTTAGAGATGCCGCAATATTGATGTTTTAATTATTTATATATGAAGATATAATAATATTAATATTTATAGACCATTAGCCTAAACTTATGTTTAAAGGAATTTTTTTTATTTATTTTTTAAATTTTTTAGCTTGATAAAATGCAACATTTCAATTTTAAATAAACATTTTAAAATGATTATTACTTTCAAAACATATATAATTTTTTAATAAATTTTAATATATATTTTTATAGATTTTAATTTAAAGATTTTTCTTTATTTATATTTGAAGATTTATAAATAAAATTAAAAAACATTAAAATAATAATTTTATTTATTGTAATTTTTGCTTTTCAAATAATATATTGTATTATAACTTATAGGCCCCTAACAGTTTTATAATTATTCGAAATGACAAGCAAACAAAAGAAATTTAGAGACAACTAAATAAAATCGTTTCTGAAATTTAGAGAATTCCAAACAAATTATTGTATATATGTCAGCAATAAATATGTTCCCTATATTCTGATCGTAAATTCTGAATGTGCTTGACCTCCTTCCTCTCATTATCACCTTCATCAGCTGATTATTCAAAGCTCTCATAGAACAAAACAAAAGGCATAAATAAATTCTAACAGAATAAAAGCCGTGGACAGCCTTTACTAATAAAGCCGAAAAAAACAGTTTTTTTTTTTAAAAGAAAATTTAGTTTTTTATAAAAATCAAAATACCAAAATTAAATTAAATTTTCGTCACGTTCTGTGCATGTAAATTATGGCCAAGCATATCAAATGTTGTTTATGAGTTTTTTTCTGTTTCTGTGTGAGTGAGTGTGTGTGTGTGTGTGTGTGTGCCCCACCATGTGTTACGACTGGGAGCGGAAATAAAGCGTATAATTGTTCAACACGCATCTGTGGTGTTGTAGAGCATTCCTAGAACTTGGCTTAATGGCTCAATGTGAGTTATTTGTGTGGCCAAAAGCGTGCCAAAAAGCTGTCGCAAAGCGATCACGGCAACTGCAACTCTTAACGTGGCTAAGGGCTTCAAATCAAAATGTGGCAAAAATAACAAAATAAAATCATAAATCAATCAACCCACTTGCGCAAAAGCCACAAATAAATTTCAAATTTGTTTGAGAGCTGAACAGATGAGCGCGCACGGCTGTCGATAATCAACGATGATGACACAATTGCTAAATAATACGAGCAGCATGCCGCATCCATTGTTGGACTTGATTCGAACACGACAATCAAACCAAAGCCAACATAAGAAGCAAAAATTTATGATGAATTCAAAGAAATAATAAAAGAGGAGCGTCAGCATCTGCTGTGACGGTTCTGTGTGTTGGCGGGTGCTTAAAGTGGGTGTGTGTGAGTGTTACTGTGTGTGTGTGTATTTGAAAGTGATTGAAAACTGCAGCGAACGAGGGCTGCTCAGTGAGTAACCTTGATTTGATGAATACT